GGCCCCACCCGCAGCCCAGCTAGACCCGCCCTGTCCCGCCCTCGGGCCCCTGGGCTTGAACTGACCGCTGAAGCGGCAGAACCTGCGCAGAGATTCCCCCGAGTTTCCGATCCTGTCCCTCCGGAACTGTGACCAGGGGCAGCCTAGCTCCTGTATCTGTTCTGGAGGGTTCTGTGAACCACCCCCTGCACACCAGTCTCATCCCCTTCCCATGCCCGCCAGCCCCACTCCCTACCTGGACACCCGATCCTGGGGACCTGTTCTCAGAAGTGTCCTCTGTTCCTGGGCCTCGGGCCATCGTCAGTAATGGGCAGGGTTGAGGCTGAGTGCCAAGTGAGCGAGGAAATAGTGACCGGGCGACCAGAAGGGCCCTGGCCTCCTCGGAGCCCTGCACTGCCTCCGGAGGTAGAGAACCTTGCCTGTCACTGCAGAGTAAACTGAGGCCCGAGCGCTCAGCCGCAGGCCAGACTGCAGTGCAGTCCCCTCTCCGCCCCAGGCGGCACATAGGGCAGGCTGGACCTGGGAAAACGCCAATGGCCCCATCCCTCTAAAGCAGTGGTCGGCAAACTCATTAGTCAACAGAGCCAAACATCAACAGTACAACGACTGAAATTTCTTTTGAGAGCCAACTTTTTTAAACTTAAACTATATAGGTAGGTACATTGTTATTAACTTAATGAGGGTACTCCTAAGCTGGCCTTTGCTAAAAACGTCCTCAATCTGATTGAGGTACGTTCGCTGAGGTCGACCCCTTCCAACTCTCCCATCCACACTTGTCTTGTATACTTGTTTCGTCCATCTCCTTCCGTTCATCCTCTCTATATGTCCAAACCATCTCAACATACCTTTCTCAATCCTCGACACTACATCTTCTTTCACTCCACAACGTTCCCTAAAATTAACTTAATAAACTTTACTTAAAGTTTCAAGTAAACTTCGCACGCGCCCGCACGTGGTATTCTGTGGAAGAGCCACACTCAACGGGCCAAAGAGCCGCATGTGGCTCGGGAGCCGCGGTTTGCCGACCACTGGGCTAAAGAGCTGTGCAGGGGGTGCTCTGAACCCTAACCCCCTGGTGATCTCCGCCGCCCCTCCCTTGACAGAGAGACTGAGTCCTTGAGTGAGACTGGGTCCTACCCCTTACAAGGGAATGGGGGGCGAGGGAGAGAGTAAGTTTCTGAGGCTCAGAGACACGGCTCCCTGAATGGATAGTGTGCAACAACTGCCGTCCCGGGGTGAGGATCCCGGGACTCCCAGGCCCGACCCTCGCTAGAGTCCGGGTGCTTCCCTCCACGGAGCAACCCAGGCTGCAGAAACGAGGCCTTACAGGGAGGGGACTTCCAGGTGTCTTCCCAGAGGCGATGCTCCGACGGTGTCTGGAAGGGCCTGGAGACCTGAGGGGAGGATCTCCGAGCCGGAGGACTGACACCTGAGGCGTGGACCAGAGCCCCGGCCTGGGCTTGGGGGTTAGGGGAAAATCAAAAGGCCCGACCTCTGCCGCCGCTTCCTCCTCCAGGAGTGTATCGCCCAGCGAGCACCGGCCCGGGATGCAGTGTGCTGTTCTAACGCCCCTGCGGCCGTACTACCCTTATGCGAACCTTAGGTAAGTCTGGCGCGGTGGAGTACCTGGGGGCAGAGGGCGGAATTGGGGGTGTATACTGTCCGCTGCGATGCACTAACTGAAAGATGCCACCAGGAGGCGCTAGTGCCACGGTGAAGTCAAAACTAACAAGGCGATGGAGGACTCCATGAAGGTGTGGAGGCCAGCATTGAGAGGTTACAGGTTGACAGTGGGGCATAGAGTCAAGATGTCAGTTAGGTTCAGGGATTGAAGTAGAGGGTAAAATGTCAATGTGAGGGACTGGGTATTGGAAATCAAAAATTTGGCCATAGAACCTGAAGTCAGTGTTGGAGCCTAAGGTCAGGATTAGGGGCAAAATGTTGGGATAAGGTTAGCATTGAGAATTGGAATCAAACAGATAAGGGTCCAAAAGGGCTGGCCCATCTCTTCCCACAGGTGGGACACAAGTCACTTTAAGAAGACCGGTGGCTCCCAGAGAAACAGCTATGTTGTCCACCCTGAGTTTTTGTCCGAGAGTTACCCTGGCTACTCCTACTGGTAGAGCGGGGACCAGGCCAAGGGGGCTGAGCAATAAATAAACTTTTCACCCCATAGGCTGCCTTTGACATTTCCACATATTCCCCTGCCTCCCGTGTCCTCATCCAGCAAGATCTGGCAATGAGGAACCAGTTACCCAGGCCTCTGCCAAGTCCCCTACACTAAGATGCAGTTTCTCAAAGTCAACCTGCCCTGAGCCCTCGCCACTCCCATCACCTCAGCACTTCCCTTAGGTGACCCTAAGTGCCCTCCTGACACATAAAAGTAGCCCTAGATCAGTGGTTCTCAACCTTCCCAATGCCGCGACCCTTTAATACAGTTCCTCATGTTGTGGTGACCCCCAACCATAAAATTATTTCGTTGCTACTTCATAACTGTAATTTTGCTACTGTTATGAATCATAATGTAAATATCTGATATGCAGGGTGTATTTTCAGGGGTCGCGATCCACAGGTTGAGAACCGCTGCCCTAGATACACCTGGTGTCCTCCTCCCCTCCACCCCAGAGCCCAAAAAAATGGGTCCACCTAGAAAGGGCCCTCCAGCTAACATTCCTCTAATATCTCCTAAACTTAATGCTTCTCACCCCAGAATCCTCCCCATCACAACCCCCCAAAAGCCTATGTTCATATACCTTGCTGTCCTCCCCACCCCAAGAGAAGGGGTCTAAAACAACAAAACAATTTTGGCCGGTTTCATGATCAAGAAATTTCAAATTACAAAACAAAGCCCTGCTTCTATGTCCCTCGGGGAGCAAGGAGTGGGATGTTCTGAAATCTCTGGGATCTTCAGTATTGCTGCACCCCATTCCTCCCTGGGGCGGGGGTATAGCGGGACACGCTCACTTCCTCGCAGTACAGTCATTTCCAGCGCCCGTCACTGGGGAGTTGGGGGTGCGGGGAAGCCAGTGTTCTAGGTCCCTGACCTCCATGCTGTTGGTCTGGACTGGTGAGAACCGACAGCTTGGGCCTCCCTGCTGGTGAAACCAAGGTCCCTCCGTGGAGTCCTTGATTGGATCCGCCTTACATCGGGCCGCTGAGATTCTCCAGGAATCCTGCTACCCTTTTCCCATATAAGAAACTTTTTTTTCCATATGGGAGAGCTGGTAAGAGCGTTATACCGAGACGACCTCCACCTGCCCAAATCTGGAGGGTAAGGAATACCAAGCGCTAGCCCTGTCCCTTTACCCTGCGGCTCTCTCCTTCTCATACGCATCCCGAATTTAGCTTGGAGGTGCAAGAAACCTAACATTCTACAGCCGCTCCTTCCTCCAAACCTACATTTCCCTGAAGACCTGGAGCAGACCCCTCCCCCGCCCCCGCCCCCCGCAAGCGGGCGGGCCTGCAGGCGAGGGCGGAGCCGGGAGGCAGTGGGCTGGCTGCTGGCCCGAGATGCCGGGAGCTGAGCCCAGAGGAGTAGGAGGAAGGTAGGGGCTAAGGAGCCGGGCCTCAAGTCCGCGTGACTATGTGGGAGGAGGGGTCCGGCGTCTGGGGCGGGGCTGGACTCCAAGGCCCTGGGCGAGACCAAGAGACCTGGGCGTGGCCAGCCAGCCAGGGGGCGGGGCCTCAGCTGTCCCCTAAGTAGGCGGCGCTCCGCTTTGCGCGGTGGCAAGCTCAGCTCTGGCTAGCGTGGAGATCTGCAGGAGCCTACTACCTTCACCCCCACTCTTGGGGTCACTGCCGTGAGTGAGCCCAGGGGGAGGGCCTTGGGCGGGGCGGGTTCGGAGGGAGCACACTTCACTTTTGCTCTTATTGCTGAGTGCGGGGGAGCCTGGACACCTGAGTCACCTTGGTTTCCAGTGGGAGACAGGCCCCTTGACCTCAGTCTGTCCCTTTGGACTTTGCAGCTGTTGGGCGGGTCACTGGGGGTGGGGGTGGGGGTGGAGCATTCCAGGCTGCAGGCCCAGTCACTCGATCTCCCGGATCCCGCCGCTGAGCAGGGAAATGGGCCGGATCGAGTTGCCTTTGACATTTCCACATATTCCCCAAGGAACAGTGTTCGAGAAACGAATCCGCTTGGAATGGCCTCCCCTCAGTTGGGCCTGTCGGGTCCTCCTCCTCAAACCCGACTAGGGGCTGGCAGCCAAGATTGAGGTTGACCTTAGCCAAGTGGGGAGAAGTCTTGGCCAGGGACAAACCCACCTGCGGACATTAGCCTGTGGTTGGTCTGATGGTGGAGGCAGCAGATTACAGGAGTCTGTAACGCCACCGTTAACACTGGAATCACTGTTCTTCCCCCATAGCCCCGGTACCAGATGCTATTAAAATTGCCCCTTTCCCACAAGAATTCTTCCTGGAGCAAGCAGCAGCAGCAGCAGCCCTTGGGAAAACAGGTCTCACCGTGCCCACACCCACTTGATAGAAGCCTGTCCCAGCCTCTTGACCACAAGGCTCCTTTCCTCTGCTGCATTCAGCCTGTCAGACCATTAAATCCTGTCTCCTAAAACGGGGGCTGTGGAGGATTAAGTTGACTTTTTGGATTGAGGCAACCTACTTGGGTGACTTCAAACAAGTTCCTTTTTTCCTGACTTGGCCACTGTTTCCTCATATGTACAAAGGCACTGTAGCTACGCCTCTTTTTTGGCATTACTGTTAGGGTGGGTGCTCTGCTGGCATTTGGGAGACACAGGGCTTGCATGGAGTGGGTGCTCAGGCCTGTAGGCTCCTATCCTTCATCAAAGAACATCCAAATCCTAGACAGTTAAGCTTCTCAGAAATCAAGTGTTGGAAAAGGCTTCTAAGACCACTTTGGTGGCCTCTCCATGCCTCCAGGGGTCATGGAATGGTCTGACTTAATATGAACGTTTTGAGAATGAGGGGCCCTATCCAGCGATGGACCTTTCCCATTTATGTCCGTAGTGCCCAGAATGGGGTCTTGAATATAAATATATAGCAGCTCTGACCTGGGCCACCTAAGACCTTCTTTGGGTTTTGTTTAGCTTGAGGTCATCAGCAAAAGGTTACTGCCTGCATTTCTCAGGGAGAACTTTTCTAATTTGTACCTACAGGAAGGGGAATCCATTCTGGGGAGGGGAGTTTGAAAGCTAAGTGTTATGTGGGCTGAGAGGAAGGGATTAAGAGGCTGTTCCAGACCAGCCAGAACCAACTAGCTTAGGCTATTGGGTGGGGCAGAGAGCACAGAGAATGAGGCCGAGATAGCACATTGAGGAGGGGCTATATATTGAAATCTGGGATCAAAGTTCTGATCTGCACCTGGCATTCTTGGTAGTCTCTTCAGGGGAGTGGTGGGGTGTGGTAAAGATCCTGAACAGTTCTGACATCTCCTGGGGGACTTAGAAACAGACACTGGCATCTGGGAGGAGACTAATTACTGTTTGCCAGTCTCCCTCTCTCCTTTCCCCTAGCTGGTGCAGCGGGCTGGCTGGCAGTGTGAACGTCTGTATGCACCTGGCTAGGGCTATTTCTTTGTTGGACTCTGTCCTGAGGGCTAAATCAGGAAGAGTCAGTGGCCTTGAGCAACAGATTGCAAAACACCTCCCCCAAGTCTGTTTCCGAGTCATATCTGGGTGTTTAGCATACAGTGTGTGAGAGTATATGTGTGTAGTTCGGGGGGAGGTGCACCTCTGATCCCTGGAGAGCTGGTAGGTTGGGGAGAAATGTTGGCCCAAGGTGGATCGGTGAAATCTAAAGCAGGTGGCCTGAAGGATTTAGGTTGGGGGAAAAATGAGCTTGGTAGTCATAAGATAGGCCTGGCTGGACATGGAATCAAAAAGGCAGATGAGACCATATCATGTCTTGAACCTCAGTTGCAAAATTTATGCTTCTGAACTTCATCCCAGGCTTCATGAGAAGCTCTGTAAACTAGGAGGAGATGTGATCTGATAAGTTGGTTTTTTTTAATCCTCGCCCAATGACATGCTTCTGTTGATTTGGGAGAAAGAGATGAGATGGGGAGAGAGAAAGAAAGCAACCTCAATGTGAGAATGAAACATCAATCAGTTGCCTCCTGCATGCGCCCCAAATCCGCCCTGACTGGGAATCCAACCCACGACCTTCTCGTGCACTGGACGACACTCCAACCAACTGAACCCCACCTTTGGAAGGATCGCTATGGTTGCTATAAGCAGAAGGCATTGGGGGAAAGAAATAGGGCATGGAGGTCTATAGGGGAAGTATTGCAATAATACTGGGGAGAAGAGACAGTGTCCAAAACTAGGGCAGGGGCATCAGGATGGTGGGTGCGTGGCAGAGACAAAGCTAGGTGGCAGCTGGCCAAAGAGATGGTGCTGGGAGCAGAGCAGGAAGCTGGGCAGGGAAAGGGGTTGGTGAACAATGGCTGAAAGCAGGGTAGAATTTGAGGACAAAGAGGGGGAGGTCTGAGAAGCCAGCCACCATGTCTCTTGAGCCAGGCTCCTGACCCCAGCCCTAATGTCTGAACCCAACCCTGCCTCCCTCCAAACCAAGCCCTAGGACAGAACTAATCTCCAGATTCAATCTGGCTTCTGATTAAATTCCATGCCTGAGCTGTGTGTTTCTTCTTGCTCTCTCCTCTCCCCTTTGGGGACAAGGAAACTCATCCTACTGACCTATGATGCCTCCCCTCTCCCACCACGGCCACATCTCTGGGGAACCATGTCCTCTCCAGGTCCCTCCCCTTCTCTTCAGCTTGAACTGCTCCCATGTGTGATCCCATGAAGTCTGATATTCTGTGATCTGGACTTCTCCCTGACCCTGTCTGGGTTTGTTTCTTACCCACAAAAATAGGATGCATGCCATCTGCCCCTGCCCATTCAGAGTCCTGACTAATGTCGACAAACATTAGGGCCCTTGAGAAAGGGTAAGATACAGACTGTCCTCCTAAGTCTCACCTTTGCCATTTCTTAAACCATTGGTTCTCAACCTGTGGGTCGTGACCCCGTTGGGGGTCAAACAACCCTTTCACAGGAGTCGCCTAAGACCATCGGAAAACACATATATAATTACATATTGTTTTTGTGATTAATCACTACGCTTTAATTATGTTCAGTTTGTAACAATGAAAATACATCCTGCATATCAGATATTTACATGACGATTCATAACAGCAGCAACATTACAGTTATGAAGTAGCAACGAAAATAAATTTATGGTTGGGGGTCACCACAACATGAGGAACTGTATTAAAGGGTCGCGGCATTAGGAAGGTTGAGAACCACTGTCTTAAACCCTTATGTCCCGGAATACACCTTTCCAAAGTATACACCTCTTCTTTCTTGCTGCAGCAAATGGAAATACTATGGAATGAGAAGGTCCGTTCCGCCTCTCTCTCCCCCTTCCAGACTCTGGCAGGCCAGGTTCAGATGGGCTTTGTCAGGTGCCCACTGCCCGT